AAATAATAGTTTAAAAAATTAATAAAAAGAAAAATAGAAAAAATATTATAAAAATTAAGTTTGTTATAGAATAAGAATTTTAAGCTACGGATAGAACTTCAAATAAGCTAAATTAATTTAAATTAGTAAAGAAGCAAAATATTATTTTAAAGCTATATTTAGAAAAATAAATTATTTTTAATGATAAGTGAATTGATACGTATATAAAAATCATATCAATTTATAAGTATTTTCTAGAATATATACAATAAAGACACATTATGTTGACTTGCTTGCGGTTTAAGTTAGAAAACAAAATATACTTTAAGAATAATTCATTAAATATCAATTATCTCTTAATATTTATTATTTTTTATGAATTTTAATTTCATTTTATTAATATTTGTTGTTGTTTTTTTATTAACTGTTTTAATAGAAATAAATGTCAAAAATAAATATTTTTAAACAATAATTAATGCACTGCATATTCTTATTCTTAATATAGAACTATGCAAATACAGTACCAAATGTTCGTCCATATTAACAATAGAATAATATAAAATATACTGGGCATAAGTACGTGTTAATCAAACGTCGTATCTTTAAAAAAAATTATGATCGAATCAGATGAAGATATAGTTAGTATGCAGTAAATTAAACATATTAGAATTTAGACCTCGCCCAACTTCCCTTATTTATTTGCACGAGAATGTGGCTTTTGCTATAATTATTACTTGATTTGTTGAAATTGAGTCATTTATGGTGCATACGGGCAAGTGTATGTTTTCGACCGTAATGATGGTAATCCAATTTGAACGACAGTGCGTAAACGTATCAAATTAGTGTACGCACGATGCGTGTATGTGCGCGCAACGAATCATGCACATTCACTTAATCTACAAAAGTCCACTCTCACATCCATCATGTTAGGAAGGTCGCACAAAGGGTGGAGGTGTACGACCTCGTGCTCTATCGTCGGAAAAAGATACCCGTAAATGTTGGCACATTCGTATTACGATTTCTTGAGGTCGCACATGAAAACAATGGCCGGTATTAACGTTACCATTTTTCGTAACACATAATTGTTGGGTTTCTATTTCAGGATGTTTGAGAAGAGATTATCTCCCCCCGTCGGAACACACGATGAGGTCATGCAGTGACACACCGAGCACAAACGTGAACTATGATTCGGGTTTAGAAAAAAAACAATGAAATTTTATTAATTTTACTAAAAATGTACAAGGTTTAGTCGTAGCGGAAATATTGGAGTACATACGTAATTATACCTTAAGTAATTTTCTTTGCTGCAATATTAACTATTAAATTAATGCGCATCGAAGGATGGATGCGGTGACATGGACACAATATAACATAAGCTTTAATTTTATTGGTGATACTTTCGATGAATCAATTTTGATTACGTGATTTAACTTTGGAGCATCAAATATCAGAATTGCAGTTGTTGCTATTGAGGTTAATGATCAACCGCTACATGGTTAGTGTAGGCCGTTGTAATCATTATTTTATAGTGCATCCATTCATTCAACGTAATCATGCGTTAATTACCCATTTGCAGATGATTTCTTCTTTCAACAAATTGATCATTGAAATTATTCATATTCTTTCCGGTTTTGCATCTAAAAACCGTTTTTCGGATTGTTTGCATAGAGGAGAAAACTTACAAAAAAAAAAAAAAAAGAAATCCAACAAATCATTCGCAAAAAAAAAAAATGTCCAGAAAATAAATCTTAGTAATCCTTTTTGTCTGTTGGGTTGAAATCTTTTCATCGAAAGGAAACAACTCCAACATTCGGATTTTTTTTTGTGGTTTCATACTCTTATCCACTTTCTAGTGACTTTAAATTTTCTGTACAAGCATTCGGAAGATCTTTATGTGAATCACAATTTCTTCCTTGTCGGATGTGCTCCAATGTCTAAGAGAAAATTGTCAACGAAAGTATATGATGGAGATCAAGCTGCTTGTTAAATCGTGACTTACTGTTTGTCGACTTCTGCTTTGAAGCAATTTTCTTTGTTCTCTTCATGTTTAACGTGGTCTGTGAATCCGGATCGACTTCGGCGATCTTCCTCTTGAATCTGTCTGATCTTCGATCGATTTTTTCGGCTGACGGCTTAATCTTGGAGTTTCTTGTCCTTCTCGCTTTTTCTCCAACTCGGTTTTCTCTTATATTCTTCTCTTTAACGTCGAATGGGGCACGTCTCAGGACCCTCAACTTCTTTTCTTCGATTTCTTCTTTTGTAATTCTTGTTTTTCCCTCTCTTCTCACTTCCGATTGTTCCTTACTAATCTTTGACTTCTTTTCCGGTTTTTCCAATGCTACCCTTTCACCTGGTAACCTCTTTTTACTTTCTTTCTTTTCAACCACAATGTTCTTGGGAAGTTTTTTCAATGTCATTTTCTTCTCAATCTTGGATAACTCGACTTCGACCAACTTAACCCATTCATCACAAGTGCCCTCTATTTGATAATCTATTATACCATTCCACTCTCGTCTAACCACATCCGACTTATTCACCAGTATTACGTAACCGTTGCGGTCATGAACGGCTCGGGAAAAATTCTTGATGAGACTTCTAACGCCAGGAATTCTCAACGACGTACCCATCACTACAAGGCAATCAGCCCTGTTCTCATCTTGGGCAGCGATTTGGCTAATCTCATATCCTTTTGGGTGTTCGTCACCGTAAAGAAGAACAGTTGGCTTTAACTGTCCGATGGTATGAGGTCGCCTTCCCTGCTCCAGCCGAGCATCCTCTGGGTGAAGAAAGGAAAGAAAAAAAGAGATCCACTTGGCTTAATCAATGAGATTTTGCGTATTTCAACTTTCCGACGAAATTGACAAATTTGATAAATTTCATGAAGCAAAAAAAAAAAAAAAAAAAAAAAAAAAAAAAAAAAAAGAAAAGAAAAATTTTTTAAATTTCGCGTTTTCTCGTGATATCTACCTCTCTCTTCGCAACCGGGGCACCAAGGTGCTTCCCCTTGCTTGAAAACGTCGCAATATTGCATCACAAAAGGATAATTATTTGTGCAACTGCTGCACCGTAGACTAGACATCGTCCCATGTAGCTGAACTACATGAGCCGCACACTTGGATGCCTTTTCAAACTTCCAATCTACATTCAATCCTACCAATTCCTCGAGATTATCTACGTTTTGGGTATAAACTCGGGTTAATTTCTTCATATCGGCCAACTTTTTAAGAAAAAAATGGGTGGCTGTTGGAGTTGCATTTAAGATCAACTCTTTAAGTGAACCCATGAATAAATAAAAAGCTCTAATGGATTCACGACTTCTGAGTAGTTCAGCGTCGAATAAGTCCCTGCCCGAACGAAAGGTTCCCGGGAATTGTCGTTTTACCATGTCGTAGAGACCTTCTTCCTTACTTCTAAAATCCTGTGGAAAAGAAAAAAGTGGTCGAGAACTTAGACCCTCCCGCTTATACTTTTAGATAGTTTACAGCCAGTTTTGCTTCAAAAGACGCGTTGAAAATGTGGAAGGTCGGTTTGCGAATCCCAAAGTTTTTTCATTTTGCTTACCGGTATTCCGCCACTACAAGATATACCAGCGCCGGTAATTATGACACACCTTTTTGCCTGTGCGACGTGTCTAGCTACTTCTCTGAGCTGTGGGTTGTTTCTTTCTTGCAAGTTTATTTTGACGACGTCCATGATGTTTGAAATGAAGAGGCAGTTCTTACTCGAATGAGAATATCAAAAAAAAAAAAAAAAAACTTTTCCCGGTTTGGGGAAAGAAGAGGAGACGAAATAACGATTTTTATATTTA